GCGCTGCTCCCGGCAGCGCTTCGGACGGGCTCCGCCGGTCTGCGAGAGCGCCACGGCCGTGGGTCTCCGGCTGGTTGGGCTGCTGAGATCACAGAGCCTGCCCCGGTGAGCGCGGCTGTCAGTGCCCACCCGGGGGCTTTCCTCATCGAAGGAAAGAAGGGGGCGCCGACGGCCCCGCGATGCTGGAGGCATCCTGGGCTCTGCCGTGGGTCCGCCACTAAGCTGCAACAAGTGGGTCTGTTGTTTCTAAAGGTGCAGGGTCTGAAGGACTGTTTTTCAACAGAGTGCCAGTTATTTCTAAAGAGAAATTACTGAATATTATTTATTCTTGGTGGTCTGCTTTGCAAAACTGCCTAGCAACGCCATGTGATTGACATCTTTTAAGGTCTGATGATCCGCCTATACCATATAGTTAGGGTCACGTTTTGCATCTCTGACGCCAGCACCAATTTCAGCATTGGCTTTTGTAGGAGCAAGATCTGATACACAGTGTTTTCCTCATAGTTTTATTTTTAAAAATCTGGGAGTAGGTGTTCAGCATCAGTAACTTGGCATTCCTCCACTGGTTTCTCTGGAAGTGCTCATGTACATGAGCTGATCAGCCAGGGTATAATGCACTGATCTCAGATATTTTCAATACAGATGTCAGGAGTTTTTCATAGTGAAAAATAAATATCATTAAATCATTAAATAATCACAAATGCATGAACAATCCAGGATTCTTAAGAGAAAGCATTAGATATTTCCAGCCATTTAAGGAGCAAATTCTCACTTCAATTTTTCACTTCTCTCTGAAATGCTATTATTCGTGTTATTCAGAAGTTTTCTTCTTTTTGCCTTCTGTTAAACATGCTAACCTTGGAGATTGTCACTTTGTGTATGAGCAGATGACCTAAATTAAAAGAAAAAGTTTAAAGGTTAAAAAACATTTTTTTTCAATTGAAAAATACTTTGGAGAGCAATAATTGGCTAGAGCATCTGCTGTAGCAGAGAGGAACTAAATACAATTTTGATTTTGTTTCAACCATGGTCATAGGTGCTTTGTAGCTAAAATGGCAATATCCAACTTTAATTTTGTCATGAATATATTTGCATGAATATCATATATGAACAGTTGTTAATCACTGAGGAGAAAAATGCACAAATAATATACATTAATAAAAACCCTACATTGGCTTTACTCTTCAGTTTTCTTTTTCCTGATGTATTTTTCTGTTTCTCTACCTTAGAACCTTAATTTCTACTCCTACAGCTTCTCTCTCCAAGTTTATTCTTCATTCTCTCCTCCTAATGATCAGATTTATGCTTTTGTGGTCGGAAATACACCGGCCAGCTGTTTATTCTGAAAGTGCTTAATCCCAGCTGCACCTGCTACAGCTTTTAGCATTAACATTGATTTCCTAACAAAAAGTGTAATAACAATGGGTTTCTTATTCTTGCAATATTTCCTTTTACATAAAAAACAAAACTTAAAAGCTAGTTCAGTCATGGGCATAACTTAAGTAAGCCCTTAAATACGGGATAATACGCATATAAAATATAATTTACCAGCACATAGACTAAGGAAATTATTGTCAGGACCAAAAGAAAGAAGTGTCTCAGAATGTACATTTGGGAGATGAATAAGACAGCCTCTGTTTGTCACTAGGACTGAGGTCAATAATATCCATTTTAAAGCAATTAAGCCAGCAGGCTAAGTGACAGGAAAATGATCATGCAGAAAGGCTAATGGGCTATTAAACCATCTTGCTTCACTACTGATGGGCATACAAAATTAATCCTGGGATTAGGTATATAGGATCTGGGCTAAACTGCTACTGCAAGATTTGTATATGAAGGATTTTCTGAAAATACTAACAAAGATCATGGCAAATCTATCTGATAGGAATGTTCACTGATACGCTCTATTAAAGATTCAGTCAAATGAGTATAAATTAAGTGTCGTTGCCTGGCCGTATTAGAGCAATATCTTCTTGTTAATAAAAAGATACATCTTATTAAAAGATTAAAATAACAAAATATAGTAACATTTATACAAATCATTATTGATTGTTCACACTCATTTAAATCAAGAAAATTTAACTATGGGAAATAGTCAAACAAAGAAGATTGAATTACAAAATTGTGCTTATTAGAAATGCCATTTCCCTTTGACATTTTCCATCTGCTGCTGTGATATTAACATAATAGAAAATGTAAATGATTCATAACCCTGTCTTTACCCATAACAGCTGTTTGTAAGAAACAGACTTCACAGTAAAAAGAATGGCACAATCACTTCAGCTTGTTTGGTTTTCTGCAATGCACAAGTTCGTGGTCTTTAACTTTCCCGAGTGTCATGTTGTGGTAGTGTGTCATACATCTAATTCCTTGTGAGTAACGTGGTGAAATGTGAAGTGATTTTCAGCCCTCACAGCAATGAAAGTCAGAGAGTCAAAGCAGAAGTGCTGGTTCTGAGGATGACGTGGAGGAAGGTGAATGTATGAGGTGAGAGACACAAAATCAAGAGCTAGCAGAAGAGCGGGAACTATCAAAGAGAACAGAAAAACGTGGACAGCAATAGCAGTTCTTCCTTAATCTTTTTCCTCAGCAGTTTATGACCTACCGTATTACATTTTTATTATTACAATAGCTTTTGCAGGTTCTAAGTGACAGTTTGAAGCTCTGGGGAGCCAGATACCAGGCATTAAGAGCAAGACATATACTCTTCCTGCTGCAGAGTAAACTCAAACTTTCATACTAATCTGAACAAACTAGAGTAGTTTTAAGAAAAGGATCATAAAGATGTAGACTACCTTTTCAAACACAACAGATTAACATCAGAGGTGGTAAAAATACTTTTAAGAGTCTTTGTTCTTAACTTGATATTCTTCTCTTGGTGATAAGTCTAAAGAATGAAGGAAGCGTTATAAATAATAATTTAAATAACCTTCTTGCAGTCATTAATTTTTCTAAATTTTTTTTCAATTGTTTGAATGGAAAATTTGAACTAAAATGAAGTGGCTGCATCCTTATGTTAGTGGTGTTAAAAATATGATTCCTGTTGCCTGAGCTAAATCTATTACCATTTAATTCAGTTGAATCTAATTGCAGCTTTGCAACAGAAGGCTGAGATTTCCCCACAGAAGTTATCCTATGCACCTCTCTCTTTTTCTCTTATTTTCTCAAATCATCTAAACTAACTTCTAACATTTCTCTCATGGAAGCACTCTCCTTATGCTTTCTTCATCTTCTGCTTTTGTTTTCTTCTCATAAAAAAATCAAAAAAATATATAGCCATCAATGAAATAAAGACATTAATCCTGTTACTGAATTTTAGCTGTTTAGAAAGTCATTCACAAGACTGAGCAGCTTCTCTTTTATTTAAATTTTGTTCATAGTTGTTAATTAAACACTGTCTTCTCCTGGCTCGACCAGAACGATTAGGGGACCGTTTGGGCCTGTCTCGCTAAGTTTTCAACTGCTTTACTGTGTTAAGAAGTAGAAGTTCCTTCAGGTACTGTGACCAGTGCAGAACAGTTTTGATATTTTCAGTGTGGGGCGGGGGGAGTGGTTCTGAATGTAGCATTGTCCCAACTAATAGTGTAATCCAGTTTAGTTCAACAGGAGGCTTTCGTATCCAAGGAGGCCTTTTCAACAGACTGTCTTATTCCAAAGTAACCAATTTTTTCATTTTTAAATTTTACTAAGAAAATCTGATAGCTCTGAAGCATCCTTCTAGTTTGATCAGTGATGTTGAAAGGTTATCAATATTTCAACCTTGTCTCTTTATTTGACACAGTTCTTGAATTTCCATCATGCCTTAGGTGTACCAGATCATATTCCAGTTTGTAATCACAGACTACGTAGTGGAAAGAACATGCCTACATACAGTTGCAGTGAAGGCGAAACATCTGTCATAGGAACACCTTGTACTTCAGATGTTCGTATTTTGTTTTTCAGTTCATCCTTATAGTACCATTTCCTTATTCTAGGATATGTGCCAGTGCTTCTATTACTGCTTTTTTAATTGTCTAGTTTTATCATCATTCTGCAAGTTCCTGCAGTTGCACGATGCTTTATAAGCTGTACCACAGATCACAGGGCTTTCTGTGAAATGGTTGTTTCATGCCGCCCTTCAGAAGAACATGCCAGAGG